AGTGGGGGCGGTGGACGCCTTCGCAGACGGGACGCGCAGCTGCCGGGGGATATGCGGGCGCTGGGATAGCCCTCGCGGCCCGGGGCAGCCCTGAAGTTTTCCCGCGGCCCGGGGCGCTCGCGCTTTCGTCCTCTCCCACGATCTCAGTCCTTGTCTCTCCCAAGGCTTGGCTTCCTGCACCCTCCCGGTCAAGGGCCGGTGACGAGGGGGCCTTGGGGGGGGGTCTTGCTTTGAAAGTTGGGATGAAACTTGGCTCTCGGCTCCTCCGGATTTGCCTCCTGTAGCACATGACTTCGCCAAGATGTCATCTTCCGTGGGACCTCTTGCAGACCCCAGGCTGAGCTGAATGGGAGTCAGCGCTTCAAAGTGCTTTCTCCTAAACTGATCCCATCGCCAAAAAGTACCCTTCCCCCCACCCCAAATCGTTGATTTTATAAAATTGGATAGCGCATTGCTTAGCCCAAGAGACTTGTCCACTGCCTGAGAGAGGTAGTATTCGATTGTGGGAGGTTGCTTTTAGCCTGTTCTCAGTCTGGTTTCCTTTTATATGAGCTCGAATAAAACAGTCTTACTGATTTTGTTGAAATCCTTAAGGATTTTTTTCATTTGCAGTTGAGAATTAATTTTTAGCCTGGCTACTATTGGAAGGCTTTGTTATTTCAGAACGCTTTGAATCAACTCTCTGGAGGTGTCAGAAGCAAATACACTTTCATCGATCCATAGGGAGAAAAACTCTTCTTTTGGTCTCTGGCTTATTATGGTTCACCTAGAGGGGGACTTTGCAATAAATTCAAAGATTTGTATATTGAAAGTCGAAAAGTATTTTAAAGTTTTATATGGGACAGTTGCTTGAATTCACAGTATTTCAAACCAAAAGCTTAAAGCCATGATGCCCCAAAAAAGGAGGGGCTTAACCCAGAACCCTAGTTGACATCTTTGCTGCCCATTTCATATGTCCATTTCATATTAGGAATTGAAAACGTCACATGTTAAACTTTCAGAGAGGACCAACTTGACTAGAACTTGGTCTCAGCATGGCCTCAGCATTTTCCTAATGGGGACAAGGAGTCAGTGAAATGTTCTGCCACTTCTTTTCTGTTATCCAAATACCAGTGAGTAGACTTTGTTGCTGTTTAGGCAGAATTCTGTGAATGTACCTTATATTTGTGGTTCCCTGATTGCAGATTTCTTTGGGTTCCTATTTTTTTTCCTCAATATTTTCTCACGTGCAAACTGTCATAAAGCTATGAAGAGAGATTCTTGGTATGGGTGGAATGGATCCACAGGAGACCACATGACTTCCAACTGCTTGGCTTTGAGTGAAGGTGGATCCAAGACTGGGCCAGCAGCTGTAGGAAGGGTCAGGGACTGGGCTGCTGGAAAAGAACCTGCTGCTGACCTCCCCAGCCAGCACTTTGCAGGCTGCATCCAGCAGGAGCTCAAGATAAGACTGTAGCAATTGCTGCTTTTCATTCTGTTACCCAGATAATAGTGAGTAGCACTGTATTAATCTGTAGCAGTTAGTTTCATGGTACGGTTGTTCTCTGCCGTAACCACAGCCCTCTTTATAATAAAAACCTTCGGTCAGTTTTTGCAATCTCTGCCTTTGGCTACCTTATTAAAAAAATACTAGTTTATGTGATCTAATGTTTCTAATGAGTACAGAAGAAAAGTCTTGGAGAGGTGGGGGCTAAAGATTTTATGTTGAACTCCAAGTGATTTCAGGAGCACCAGCTGTGGCAGACAGTGTAGAATTTTTGCTGAGTAAGTACTGGGATGAGTATCATTGACATCTCACAGGATTAAGCATTTTGGGGTGATTGTGCTTGGGCGCGGCTTTAGGAAGATTATTACCATTCTTGAACTAGTAAGCTGTCGTGGAAAAATGTTCTTCCTTCTTGCATTGAGCTTGCCCTAGTGGAGCAGAGCTCTTGTGATACAGATCTTTGTGAGTGTTTTGAGGAAGCGGGTAGTTTCAGGAGAGAAGCAGAAATGTCCTACTATATTGAAGTCAGTAATGAGCTAAAATACTTTGTGTCCAGAAGGGGCCTCAAAATTTCAATGACATCATTTGAAAATCTGTCAAGTGAGAAGCATTCTTTAAGTTTGGCATCCTAGTGGCACCTGTTTTGGACTCACTTCATTCTGAGGCTTTTATTGAGCTAGCTAGCTAGGCTGATTGAGTTTGTTAAGTTTCCCCATCAGAGGGAATGATTTTCTTCTTGTAATGTCTTTTACACATTTTCTCTAAAGTTAGGCGTTTGTTAGCTGCAGCATGATAGTACTTTCTTTAAAAAATACATGGTAAGTGCTTTATTTAAAATTTTTTCCATTGCTGTGTTTCCAAAGTATATTTTAACCCAAAACCCATATATTTCATTTACTTATCATTCAGTCAGTTTTATGCATTTAGATCTTAATTCCTTCCTTGTGGTATTTTAAAAAGAAGTAACCTTAGAAGTGGCTGAGGTGGGATTATTAAACTAAGTCATGTAAAGGTTGATGTGGGTTTTATACAGTCTTGATAATTATATAATATTTCAAAATAAAATTGCTTCATAATCTACAGTTGGATAAAGTTCTGGCTTTACCAATTGCTGGCTGTGTGATCTTAGAAAGTTAAGTTTAGTTTCAGGTTTTTCATCTGTAAAAAAAAAAAGTGAGGAAAATAGTAATACCCTTTATAGGAGTGTTATGAGAATTTAATGTGGTAATACAAATGAAAAGAACTTGGTAAATGGTGAAATGATACACATTATTTGTTATGGCAGGTTTTAGGAAAGTACTACAAATACAGATTAAGATTCATAATTCAGTCTTAGTAATAAACTCTACACATTTTCTTATTTAGTCTTCAGGCAAAAGATAACTTTTAACTTTAATTTGAGAGTTAGTATAAGAACTATAGAAATACTCTGCTGCACCTTACTGTTACCTTAAAGTGAATGGTAAGTAAGTTCCCTCATTGGATGGAGTTGAATGTTCATTCTGTTAAGTTCATACATAAAGGCTTTCTCGAATTGCCTGGACATTTTAAATAATTTTTAGAACCTGTCCTTTTGGTAAATGTATTTCTTGCCAGTAGGAATTTGGATATAAAGCTCTAGAAATCAAATTTGATATTATAACCTTTGTATGATTTGGTTCATTATTCCCACCACAGCTGTTTCTAAGGTTACTTCTAATTAATAAGATCTTTAAATCTGGTAAAATTGTACATCTTGAGAGATATTGTCCTTATGGCCAACTGTATTGTGCCAAAATACGGACTTTCCGTAGGACTTTAAAGTGGGAAAACCAAATGCTGTTTTCTCTGTGCTCACATAGATACGTTGTGAGTGGGAGGTAGATACGTAGGATGGTTTAATTAATTTATAGTCTATATTTAAGAATTTTTTTCTTAATACACTAGTACTCAAATTCAGAGGATAATTATGGTCCACAAAACTGCTGGTAGTTAAATTACTGAGGAAGCTGAGAAGAGTAATTTTTAAGCTAGATCATGGATTATCTGAGCTATTAGGTCTCTGGGATTAAAAAAAAAATCCTTTTTCCCTTTTAAAATGGCAGTGCCTTTGGCAGCAATTGTGATGTCACCTTTCAAGGTTACTCTGTAAAATGGGTCCCAGATACCTTTCCTCAGTGGCAACTAACATCTCAAAGTCCATTCATTCCGAATACAGCCACAGCTCCTCTATTCCCCTATTTTGACTGCCCATCTTCAACTGTGCACATTTTTCTTGAAATATAGAAACCAGAGTTGTACGCAGTATCCACAGGGTCATAATTCAGTGCTATTCTCCAGCCCCTGCCTGAAGATGCCCAGTATTGTGGGGCATTTTAGATACAGCCATATATGGATTTTGTTAGAAGGGGAAAAAAACATATATTCTGACCATAGGTGTGTTTTTAAAATTCTTATTTTAATGTATTGGGAATTCCTCAATAATAACTTGTGTGTGTATCATCCTAGAATTTTAGTTTTTCTCACTTTCCCTCAAATTATGCCCCCATAATCTTATATTTCACCCTTTTTGAAGTTTACTTACCACTTTTCTACCTGTTTACACATGACATATATATTTTATATTATATAATTTATATTTATTTGCTCGACATTTTCCCACCTAGAATAATACCATCAAGTTGGAAACTCCTCGAGTGTTTCTCCACCTTCACTGTGCATCAGAATGGAGCTTTTAGCAACTGCAAAGGCTGGGTCCCACTCTCGCAGTGTGGGGACGGGGAGGGGAAGGCATTGCTAATTTTTTTAAAAGCAATTTTGGTGACTCTAGTTTGCAGCCAGGGTAGAAAGCCCCTGTCTAGGTAATGTAAAATGTATTCGTTCATATTTGGCCGAATCTCTGAGGCTGTCACTGTTGACAATTTAACTTCCAAATTCAGATCCATAAATTCCAAATCTTTTCTTTTCTAAATTCCCCCACTTTATGGCAAAACAATTTTTCCAGTTCCTTGCCAGCTCAGTTTTTCTAGTACTTGGTGTAATGTCTTGTCTGAGGCATTTTTGAAAACTATTAATCATTAGCTCCTACTCATCCACAAGCTTGTGCTGTGACTTCCACAAACCACTCTGTAGCTGCACACACAGGCTGGCACGGCCACAGTAAACACTTAAATTCTTCGTTAAATTATTGTTGAACATCATAGGTACTCAGTATGTCTTTGTTGTTGACCCAGAGTAATCTGTCATGATTTATGCCTTCTAGAAGAGATACTGTCTTATCATCAAAGATACAGTTGGCTGTGCTTTGCCACCCCGGATTGGCTGTTTGTATGCTTAATATCTAATCCTTTTCCTTTATCTCCCTGCATTTTAGTCGCTGCTGCTAACGCAATTGCTGAAGAAAGACGAAACCAGAGTGGCTTTAGCACTCTTGCACCTCAGTCTTCAAAGGCAAAGTCAGCATTTAAACCAGGTATAATTTCTAGAAAGCTTTGATAGATGTCGAAGTATCATATCATTAAAGTTTGATATCCCATTAATGCCTAACTATATTTTTATTTATTTATTTTTTTAGTAATAGATGGATCTGTGCTTAAAAATGATATAAAACAAAGATTAGCGAAGGAGCGAAGAGAGGAGAAAAAGAGACAGGAAGATGGTATGTGTTAGACTTTTTAAAAAAAGTTAAATGAGTGAATTATATGTTAAGGTTATTTGTTTCCAAAGTGGTTTTACTTACTTTTTAATCTGTATGATAGATTATACTTTCTAATAGTATGTGCTATATTGGATTAAAAGCTTGAACTAAATTAAATAAAGAAGGCCTATGAAAAATATTTGACCAAATTGTTTTTAATTTTTGAACTAGTAGTTTCTGTTAGCTTTTATTTTCTGAAAACTAAGGTATGAAAATTTCTTCAGTGTTTGTACAAACAAGCAAAATGGGATTTCAGTAAAAATGATTCTAAAAACAAAAGTGAAGTCGTTAATAATCCTAACATAGATATGATATCTTTCACTGGTTGCTATGATTCTCAAGTATAACTTTGTATCAGTTAGGATCTTAAAGAACGATCTTTTTCTACACCTTGAGAGAAATTTTCAACTATGTATTTTTCTCACCTGGTCTTGTAAATCCACTGCAAAACTAGTGCTCAACTTCATTCAAATGGAATAGCAATTGTCTTTGTTTTGGCAAGGAGGTGTTTCTTCCTGTAGCTCTACAAGAGTATTTTACAACTGCATAGATGCTCTCCAGGCTTTAGTGAGGGGAAATTTGAATATAGGAAAACATCATGCTGTTCAGTAGTGTGGTATTTGCCTGAGCCCATGAAGGTCAAACTGACGTCTTGATGTGGTCTGCCTAGATGAGGCCTTTGAAATGAAGTGTCCTAGTAGAAGGGGGAAAAAAACATATATTCTGACCATATGTGTGTTTTTTAAATTCTTATTTTAATGTACAGCAGGTTAATCTGGTGGGGTTTGACTTCAGCTCAAGTCAGCAGTAACATCACACGGAAGAAAATATTTCTTCTGAATTTGAAATTTTAGTTTGGACAGGAGGAGAGTCATCTAAGCCAATTCACTTCTTGGGAGTTAAATGAACACCCAGTGGAAATGATTCTTTCATGGCCATCTCTGTTCACTTATATAATAAATCTGTAGTTATTAGCATAGATTATGGTATTTTTAAGAAAGAGAATAAAATACATTAAGTTTTTCCTACTCTGTATGTAATGTGGAAAACTGAAATATTTTCTTGGCTCTTATACCTTGCATTTGGAATATTTCAGCTAATAAAGAAATACAACTGCTTGAGAAAGAAAGAAAGTCTAAGATCCTATATGAAAAACAGATGGAGGAAAAGCAACGAAGACTGAGAGAGCAGAAGGAAAAGGATGAGCAGCGGAGAATATCTGCAGAAAGAAAAAGAAAAGAAAAATTTCAGGAGGAAAGGGTACATGTTCTTCTAGCCTGTTAATCGGATGATAGATACGCTGTGTTGCCTGGTTCTGGGGTACTTTTTTTCTTAGCCCTTTTCTGCCTTTACTGGTCCCACCTGTGGAAGGGAAACCAATCCCAGTTCTTCCTTTCTTCTTTCCTTGCCCTGTTCTGATCAGACCCCTGAGTTTAGGCTCAGGAGCTGAGGTAAAGAGGAACCTTGCTAATCCAGGAAGAGAGCCCTGTCGACGTGCAGAGCCTGGGACCCAGGGTGCCAGTGAGCGGTGAGCGGTATGCTCTCCTACCAGAAACTGTTGTCCCCGCAAAAGGCCCTCCCTGACGGGCCCCCATCTGACGGTTTACTTCTCACAACCCCTGTCATGTGAGTGCCGGGGGGTGCCCAGCCGGTCCGAGCCCTGGCGCTCTCCCGGGGGTTCCCTGGCTTCCTCCTGTGTGCGCTCTCCCTCTCCCCCGCGAGCTCCTTTCTTTCTGTTGTTTTGAGGCCCTGCTGCTCTCTTTTCCTCTCTGGACTCCGTTTGGTGTCCTTGGCACTCTGTTGGTGTGAGTCACTGCCTTCGTTGTGCCCTCTCTCTCCCATTCTGTCCGTCTTCGGTCAGGTGGTCTTTGACTCTTTATATGTAGGCGTTTGGCTACCTGTCTCAGTCGGTATGAGTCTCTCTGACACCAAGTTTTCCTCCGTAGGTCATCCCACTGCTTTACTGAGTGTCCTTGACTCCTTTTGCATTGGCACGTTCTCTGTGGCACGAGTCTCCTTCTTGCTGCCGTTCTTTCTTTGTTCCAGTGACTCTCAAGTGTCCCTGAGTAAGCCTCAGTCAGTCTGTGGCTGTCCGTCTGATCCTGGCCTTTGTCTGCCTGAGGCACTGCCCTTTTCTTTCTGCTTTCTTTGTTTTAGCCTCTCTCTTTTTTTCTCTCCCCATCTTTGGACTTTCTGCCTGTTGATCTCTCTGAACGTGTGTCTGTATCTCCCTCTCTTTTTCCTGTTCTAATTTTTAAATGTCTTTTTCTCTCCTTTTCTCTTTGCTTCTGTGTCTCCCCAAGAGCCTTCTTCTCTGTGGTGCTTGCCTTTCTGTCTGATTTTTGCGTAAAGTTGCTCTTGCAAATGCCTTACCCCCAGCCCTTACCCGCATTCATGGGTCTTCCTCATTCGAGGACTGTTTCCTTGCTGTTTCTTCCCTGTCCGTGGCTCACTAGCACCTTCTCTGACTTTCTGAACCTTTTTCTGTGGTTTATGCTCTTTTTTTCACATTCCAGCATTTGGTGAACTCTCATTCAGAATTTGTGTCACTCTCTATCTTCTTCTGTGAAACCTCTCCTTAATTTCCTTCTCTGTGATAAAGAGAATGAAGGCCACAGAGAGAGAGAATGAACTAGGTGGAAACAGAACCAAAGAAAGTAAAATAGAAAATTGTGTACTGCAGAGTGGGGAAGGGTTCCTGGGAGAAAGAGAGTCCCAGGCACTGAGAGGGAAAAAAAAAGACCCTTTTAGGGAAAGAGGAGCCAGAGAGAGAACACAGAGAAAAGAAGATGCAACAAAGTGACACAGCAGACAGAAGGGGAGCCAGAGAGACATGGCAGGAGAAGAGGCCACCAGACCAGGAGAAAGGGCAAAAGAGAGCCGGTCCCAGAGAGCTAGCATGGGGAGTCCGAGGCAGAGCAGGGACTATGGGACACTGTGAGTAGGCTGTACTTAGAGGAAGAGAATAATTCTGTAGAGCAGGGGAAACCCCAAACTTGGTCGTGCTGAGGAGGGGTGAGTGTGGACAGGCAACACATAGGAGATACGGCCGGAGCTTACACGTGAGCCACAGATGCAGAGCACAGAGGGTCAGTGCATCTAGACCCAGCGGGATAGAATTCTTAAGAATCAGAAATGTTTTAATAATGCAAGATTAGTTGCTGTTTTTAGTCTCTGTTATACTTCCTGCATTCTAAGTAGTTTAAAACAACCTATTTTCTGTTAGAAAATATAACTTTGAAGTACTACCATTAGATGAATTTTAAGAACTGAAGTTGCTTTTCTCCTCAGGATCTGGATAGCTCTCCATTTTCCTAGTATGTTTATCCTCCTTGAGCTCAGAGAAAGGCTGGGAGCATTATAACGATGATGTTGCTATGAAGCGCTTGTTGTCAGGGAAGAATAGAAAACCTTGTAGCCCTCAGGTTGGTTTGCTCACCTGAATGTGGTCCACAGCGTGTCATAGCACAGGGATGAGAAATAGCTGAGAAGAGAAAACGGTGCACCTCATTTCTGGTGGTGGTGGTGTTTTGCCGCAGTGTGGCATTTACATCTGTAGAGCTGTTATCCTGCACAGTTTAAATTGAAGTTGAGGTCAAGACAAGTACATCAGTTCTCTTTTTCAAATTTGATTAGTTAACACCAGAATTTAAAATGTTACAGATGTGGGAATAATAAATGATCTGACATAGATTTCTCTTGCATGTTTTAGTTGACTTTTTTCCCACCTCATTCTATAAAGAATTTAAGGTATAATTTTTAAAAATACATACTTCAACCAGATGATAAAATAAATGCTTTAGGGAATCAAGCAGAGAGGGATATTAATATAAGAAATAATAAAACATATGGTCTGATTAGCATACACCAAAATGTGCCACTCAGTCTTTGTGTAGTTGCTAGAAATAGGCTACGCATTTGGTTCTAAATTTCCTAATGATAAAAGCACAGAGGGAAGCACAGTCAGTTCCTCGATTCATGTCCATAAGATTAAAACCTGGTTATTCAGGAGAAGCACTAATATTGATTGATACCTGAGATGTTTCCAATTCTTTTTAACTTTTACATTTTATAAAAAAATTTTGCCTGATACAAAAATTTGGTGATGGGGGTATTTGATAATCCACAGATCAAAATTATACTAACCAATATAATGCATATGTAAAAATTTGTTGTCATCTGTTTTAAATAGGAGAGACTCAAGGCCATCCTTTATCGTACATTGGAACGGAGCAGCCACGTTGATCGTCAAAAAAGATGGTCGTGGGAGGGCTGTACGGGAATAAACTCTGAGAATAAAACTGGTAATTAACAACTGTTAAAATTGATTCATGTTCATATGTAAATATTGGCTATTTGTATACGGTTGCATTTACAACAGGGTTTTGAGCTTTGTATTCTAAATGAAAACGCTGCCTTGTACTCTTTGGCATGCATTTAAGTTTGTGTCACGTGAGATTGCAAAAGAAACAGGTGCAGCTTGTAGTAATCTTATTTTAGCCACTGTATCCAGAATCTTACCATTTAAACTTCTGATCGGTATAAGAATGATTAATAGTTAATAAGCTTTACATAGCATTTTTAAAGTAAATTGTCCTGTTTACTATGTACTGTAAGTTTTCCTATATATGGACATAATCCTACACAATTTCATAAAATGTAAGGTAAATTGGCATAGTTTGTAAGGAATGACTAACAATGAGCATTGTGTACCTAATTAATGCATGTTTATGCTCCATAGAACTATATCATGGACTCATTTTGTTTCAGCTAATGATGCATTTTAAAATAAGACTACAGTAAATATTGTATCTTTTCTCAGCCAATAAACATTCTATATCTACTGAGAAACTTGAGCAGGGGACTTCTGGTTTACACAAACAAGTGTCTGTGTCATCTACAGGTGTCCAGAATTCAGTTGACAAGAGTAAGTAGTTATTTCATGTCTTCTGAGTTTCAAATCAATGAAATCAATTCTTTATGTGTATTTTTACAGTACCACTTATTCTTTAGATTGTAGAACGTTTAGACTTATTTCAGAAGAGCACCACGTTGTTTTATAGTAAATAGTGATGGTCATGACAATTTTGTATTTTCATCAGTATAAATCCTTGTTTCACGATTTGTTATTATTAATGAAAGCACACAAACACTGGTGTGCTTTCATTAATATGTGTACCTGCCATATTAATGAGACATGTAAAGAGAAAGGAATAGGTGATGACTTTCAGGTTAATAATTAGTTAAATTGCACTGAAGGAGCAATTCCAAGTAACTTTTTAAATGATTTCTCTACTAGTTTTTAATATAAGAAGGTATGTGTGGAAGACGCTGAAATAACTTGCTTAAAGGTAAAGTATATTGTACACTCTGAAATGATGAATGCTGTTATTAGTGATTCCAGGGATAGTAAAATCAGCATTGTTAGTAGATTACCTTCAAATTGAAATGAAACCTGTTCAGTCCAGAGAGATGAACATTTCAAACTCAAATGAAGTTCATAATCTAACCTGTAATATTTTAAATAGCCCTATTTTAAATCTTGGCTGATTCAAATAGCCTGTTTTTCTTCTGCACATTGCTGACTCAGTTTTGTCATTTCTTGCAGCGTGATAATAAGGGATAGGTGATTCCATCACGTGATCACATCAATTACACTGCTGTGGTTCATGCTGTTCAATTACATTATCAATTCAAGAACTTTCAAATGATGCTATATTGTCAATATGTACTTTAACTTATAGGTCCCCAAAAGAGAAGTTATTCTTTAAACAGACATTTGTCAGTATTCTGATCAGTATTTCAAGTGAAATGGAAAAGTGTCTACATAAAAGAGATTTTCCCATATGACTGACTGGTTTGGGTTGCTAAAATTGTAACTTCTATGAATGTTAATGATAACTTTTATTTAAAAAAACTAGTTATAACTAAAGTATAAACTACTTTAGTCATAGATGTTATGGACTATGTCTAGAATTAAATATCGTATATTCCTAACTTGGTAACTTTGAAGTTGTCTGTTAGTGTCAGGCATTTTCCCTCTTAATTTTTAATGTTTTCTAAGTAATTTTATTTCATTTCAGATAAAGAGTAAACTAGTTTTAAGTTTGGGCATATAAAAATCTCTCTACATAATATTTGAAATTTAAGTAAATTCTTACAAGTAAGAGTAGAGAAGATTTAAAAAAAAGTTTGGAAAAGAGGAGTGGCTCACTCCTGAAATAATGTATTTATACAGCTTGTAAAAATAATGTTCCTTTGCCCTTGATCTCCAGAAACAACAGAAAAGAAGAGAAGCTCATCTCTGAATAGAAGATGCAGCAAACTGCATTCATCTGCGGAACCTGAAGAAGTAGAATCAAAAACAAGTGGTTAGTTATTTCTAAGTATTGATCTTAAATGGTGGTTTTCAAGTGTTTATGTCAACATTTAGTTGTTTGAAAAGTCATTTCAAAAAATTGGAAGCCAAAATAATATCCCTTCTTTAACTGAAAATGTACTTTGGTGCCATGCTTACGTGGCTGAAGCCAGAAGAGCCTCTTTAAATGAAACATATAATTCTGCCATCATGTGAGCAAGGGGTCTATAATGAAGCTGAGGAACTAGATCTCAGAATGTTGGTGTAGCCAGATTTGTCCTGAAGCACCTGATTCCCTTCAAACTTCATCAGTTCGCATGTAGAAGTTCTAAGTTACTGGCCATGTTTTGAACTTCAAAGCTTTGCTCTGTGGCTTCACGGTATCATCCACATTTGTCCTTTGTGCGTATTTTCACTGCTGATGACTACACACAAAATTTCATAATTATTACTGAAGTACTTCTTTACTTAAAGTTGTTTCTTTCTGACACCTTCCCTCCCTAAGTTTTCTCTCTCAGACGTGACTGTTCCCTTTTGTTTCATACTGAACCTTTCACTTACAGAAAACTCTCCACTTAATCAGTCAGGTCAAATCCTGTTACAACAAATGTCATTGTCACAGGGAACCTTATAAACATAAAAATTTATTGGAGCAACAAGATTCAACTTGAACAGAATAATTCATTCAGTCCCTTGGAGCTTTTGGCGATGGACTTGACCAATATGACTGTCAGTGGCATGTATCTGTAGGAAGCCATGTCAGAGTGGTTTTGTCATGTACAACTTTCTTCTTTCTCCACATGTGAGTTCCTCTGGGGAGACTCCATACATTGGGTATGATTCTATTAAATACATTACCTAGAGTCCTGTATTGGGGTTACTGTGGTACGCTGGGGCCTTTGCCCCTCCATTCAGGTACTCTCTTCCCTAACAGAGCAGTCCCATCAGATGGCAGTATTCAGTCCTATTCTGTATGTGTGGCTCTCATTGCTTCTACTTTTAGTCTGGGAAAGTTACAGTTTATAGCAGTTCACATTGCTCTCTCTTGCTTTACATTTATTTGTGAGACCTCAGATTGAATCCTTTTTGTTTATTCTCATCATTTAGTTTGTCAAGTGCATACCAGTCTTTGGGAGAATAATTTAATCAGTCACCTGCTTATCCCAGCAAAACCGTCAGTAGCCAGGAGCAAAAGTACTGCTTCATTATTAATTTCTGGAAGCAATATTTCAGGTAACAGGCATAGGTCTGAAAGTGTTAGTATGTCCTTAAAAAGCAGGTTGCATCACTCCATTTTTTACAGTAAAGCATGAAAATAATGTGAATCAGTACTTTGCAAATGAGTGATTTTTACCTAACTTTTTTATGTTGAGTATTTATTTTATGATTTCTAGCATGGTAGGGCAGTTATCTGCTTAATGGATAGGATGAGATAGAGAGTTTGGTTGTTAGATTTTTAAGCTGTGGGGTTTTTGACCTGTGTTTGAATGTATCACAGTACTGTAAAACGTATTGGATTTTAAAAATTTAGAAAAACCTAGTATCAAGGGAGAGTCTCCTACTCCACCCTCCTTTTTCTTTTTCTTAAAATGTGGACGAATAACATTAAGTGGCTCTTTAGCTTTTAGTTAAGAATATAAAGATTGTTAGTAAACAAATCTTCAGGGTTACGTGGATTTTCTCACGTATAGGTTCCATGTCATGTTAGACGTGCCTCTGCGTAGTAAGGGGTCCTCGGTAATGGAGAGCTCTAATTCACTATTCCCATCCTTTTCCTCCTTTTTTTCCCTCCACTTTTTCCTTTCCAGAATATATCCCACCCCCATTTTTTTTTTCCGGTCAGTATTCATATAATTTAGCAAATCAGAATAGACTGTCGTAGACTTTGTCGCAGTGCAGCGTTACTTCTCTTGGTTTGAATTCCGGACTTTGTTGATGCCTGGCTATATGTGTGCTGTCAGATTATTTTCTGCCAGTCTCCCCCGAGACTATTATAAGGAATTCTACTTACTTTCATTTTAGTTTAATATATTACCCCCATCAAAAACCTTAATATTTTGTCTTAAATCTCTATAGCTAATAGAAATCTAGTTATTATACTTAACTACATTTTCTGTAGCACAAACTGTCAGTGTTAAATAAGTGACTGTTTAGGCACATGCAGGTATGTAAAGAAAATGCTTTCTCCACCAGAAGTGAGGGACTGAAAAAATAACCAAGTCTTGTATTTACCAAGTCTTACCAAGTCTTAAGGAAGCACCCGCCAAATGCCTTTTAAAGAATGTTTGCTTTCTTTATTATGAAAGTAATTAATATTTAGTGTAGAAAAATGTAAATATAATTCCCTATTATCAATATCCACTGATAACTGAATTTTTTTGCATTTATATATTTTTAATAAAATGGGATTATAACCTGCTTTTGTTTAAACTCAGTATATACCATTTTTATGTCTGAAAATTGAGTATTACTACTCTTAATGACTGCCTTAGTCTAGTCCAAATTTTCTGTTGAGTATTTAGATTATATTTTCAATTGTTTCAATATTATAAGCAATACTATAATAAGTAACCTCATATATACATTTTCATTTGTTTATCTGATTTTGTCTTAAAGATAACCTAGAAATCAAATTGCTAGAACAAAGAGTGTATACTTTTTAGAATAGCTCTTGATACATTATTGCCAGAGTGCTTCCCAGGGAGCATTTACAAATCCACACTCTCACCAGCAGTGTACGACATTGCCTGGTTCCCAACATTGGTATTATCACTTTCCTCCATCTTAGCAGGTACTGGATATTATAATTTTTGTGCATTTATTAGGCTAAAAATATTTAGATTGTTGAAGCTGGAAGAGACCTTGGAGATGCAGTCTGACTAATGTCTTATTACAATTTTCTGTATGGGTGAGAAAATGTTCTTTTTTACATTCTAGTTTAAAACAATCATATGTAAAGTGTCTTACGTAATCATCTGTGATGGTAAGATCTCTGGCCCTGGTGACGTTATTTACGTTACTTTTAGGAAGTGTTAAAGGTCTTGTAATTTTCTAGAAAATCATTCTGAACTATAGTGTGATTGAAATAGAAATTTAATTTATTATTATTGCAAACATCAGCTTTTGAGAAGCATCTTACTTTCATTTGGAGCGGACTATTGCTTTCCCAGGGCCTTTCTTGGTGGTGCTTCTGAAATACCAACTTGGTGATGCTTCTGTCCTATGTCTGTGATCCATTTCACTAAACACTCCGTGTTGTGTCTAATCCCTCTGATTTCCTAATAAATGCACTCGCTTTTGTTCTTATACTGTTACATAGTACATTTCTGTCTTGTCATTTCTACCTGTATGGGATTTCATTCTCTGTCCTCATTTACCTGCAGGCATCCACAGTATAATCCAGCTTGTAAACATGCCCTTGCGTAGCCAGAGCAGTGTGGAATTGAAGAGTACCATAGTGCCTTGCAAGTCAACAGTGGCAGTCCCTTCCCAGGAGAAAGCAGAAATATCTTCAAAGATATTTGAAGCAGTCCCCAAGGCGAGTGTGGAAGCACCCGCCGAAGCGAGCATAGAAGCATCCCCGGAGGCAAGTGTGGAAGCACCCCCGGAGGCAAGTGTGGAAGCACCCCCGGAGGCAAGTGTGGAAGCACCCCTGGAGGCAAGTGTGGAAGCACCCCTGGAGGCGAGCGTAGAAACACCCCTGGAGGCGAGTGTGGAAGCATCCCTAGAGGCGAGTCTGGAAGGGTCCTCCAAGACCAGCATGGAAGCACCCGTGGAGGCGAGCATGAAAGTGCACCCCAAGAGTGTGGAAACATCACCTGAGGCAAGCATGGATCCATCTCCTGACATGAGCATGGACTCGTCTCCTGGGATGAGTGTAGATCCATCCCCTGAGGTGAGCACGGACTCATCCCCTGAGGTGAACGTGGACCCATCCCTTGAAGTGATCACGGACTCGTCTCCTGAGGTGAGCTTGGAAGTGCTCCCCGAGGAGAGCGAAGAGAGCCTGGAAGCATACCCTGAGGACAGTCTAGAACTGCTCCCCGAATTGACCCCCGATGAGAGCCTGGACGTCCCTCCCAAGGAGCACCTGGATGTCCTTCCGGAGGAGAGCCTGGATGTGTCCCCC